ACAACCGCATGAATTAAAACATTATACTAACTGAAAAAACCAGACACGAAGCGACAAACTGTATGATGCTACTTACTTGAAATATCTAGAATAGGCAAATTCACAGAGATAGAAAGTAGATTAGAGGTCACCAGGGCCTGGGGATGAAGGCAATAGGGAGTTACTGCTTAATGCTTACTGAGTTTCTACTTGGGATGATGCAAACGTTCTGGAAATACATAGTGGTGACAATGCACAACACTGTGAAAGTAATTAATGCAAATGAATTGGAAAAAAATCAATAGGAAGGAAGAAATAGCAAAAGCCCTAAAACTGTGCGTACATTTTTTTTTTTTACTATATCTTTATTGATTTCAGAAAGAGGAAAGGAGAGAGAGAGAGAAACATCAATGATGAGAGAGTCGTCGTTGATGGGCTGCCTCCCGCACACCAGACTGGGGATGAAGCCCACAACCAGGGCATGTGCCCTGACCAGGAATCGAAACAAGATCTACTGGATCCTAGGCTGACACTCAACCACTGAGCCATGCCTGGCTGTGTTGCGTACATTTTTGCACAGAACTTCCTCTCTCAGAAGTTTAAACAAAGGATGTAAACGACTCAGAAATATATGCACAAAAATGTCCGCAAGTAGAATGCTGGCCAAGTAAGTAAACAGGATAGAAGGCCATCAGCATTTCACAATCGCATTCTAATCTAGACTGTTTATTGACTTCAGAAAATACTAAAGATTGCTACATGAAGAGATTACCTACAGTATGATCCTATTTATGAAAAAACAATGTGCCCAAGGACACGGACAATGGTGAGAAGAGGGACGGGGAAGGCGGTGGGTCAGGGTGGTCATTGGGGAGAAAAAGGGACATCTGTAATATTTTAAACAAAAATAAAAATTTAAAAAAAGAAGAGAAAAAAAAACAATGTGACTATGCAATTGCAAAGACATTAACCAAAATATTCAGCTAATATCTTTTTTTATAAAAAGTTCTTTTTTTAACATATCTTAATTGATTTCAGAGAGAGGAAGGGAGAGGGAGAGAGAGAGAACATCAATGATGAGAAAGTCATTGATCGGCTGCCTCCCGCACGCCACCACCCCTTCCCACCCCCCTGGGGATTAAGCCCACAATCCAGGCATGTGCCCTGACTGGGAATAGGAATTCTATCTCCTGGATCCTAGGTTGATGCTCAACTGCTGAGCCACGCCCGGCCGGGCTTCAGCTGATATCTTAAGAGGATAGAATTATGAGTGATTCTGTGCTCCCTCCCATAGTATATTGACAGGCAATACTTCTACCATTTAACAAAAGTATAAAAACATGCTTTCTACTTTATAAATTTCTATAGAACTTAATTTCTCCCAAGAATATTTTTGAAAATAATTAAGATATAAAGCTACATAATGTGAGCTGTTAGTCCATGTATGTGAACATCCTACAACAACTGTGTTATACATAGGTGTACTTATACACATACAGGGTGGGGCAAAAGTAGGTTTACAGTTGTGAGTACTCGAAAGTTTATTCTTATATTATTATTTATGTATTATATTACTGTATTATTTTCCATACAAACTGTAAGCCTACTTTTGCCCAACCCTATATTTAAAGTTAGGGTATAAACCAAACATAAGCAGTTATCTCTAGAAAATGAGATTACAATGGGATTTTACTTTTTCTGTATTATTTGAATGTTTACAGTGATCATGTACTATGACCAAATAAAACAAAATAAAACACGAAACAGAACGAACTCAAGTTTGGAAAAGTGCTGTGCGGTTACAGAGCCATTTCCACGTTTCAGAAAAATCTGACTTCACAGGACTCACCACTGCATTCAGTCGGGGCTGCAAGCTTTTCACTAATGACTCCAGTTATGAAATAAAGTGGTATTCTAGCCTCTCCAAGGTAAGAACAAAATACTCTAGTACTTTCCTACATTCTAGCAAGTAAATAACCAATAGGTTAAAAAAATAGGTTTTAAAGTGATGAAGTTCACTCCCACTTTATTACTTTAAAACCTAGTTTTTTTCATTCACATAAACTCAGAGTACTCACATGATCAAAGAAATACACCACCGCAAGCTTTTTGTTGCGCCTGGTGTAGATGCGCTGCACTTTAGCAATTTTGCCGAAGTGGTTCTCCAGAACAGTCCTGTTATTAAGATAGTCAGGAATGTTCTTGCACTGGATCGCTGTGACTTCAGTGGGAGAGAAGCCCCCAAGACTGTCTGTGCTCTCACTTCTTTTACTCTGACGCCCAGGAGTTCCTCTTAGAAAATCTATGGGATGAGAGAATGGGCACAGAACTGTAGTAGATGTAATGTTTTCAAACAACAGGAGGCACCAACTATGTAAGAGCAAAGAAAACTGCCATGGATGTGAGACCTGCTCCAAGATCGTACCCATATATCAATAACTCTAATGTTTATGGGGTACTTAACCAAAAAAATCAAGCTAACATCCAGGGAAATTTACCAAGAACTTTCCAGCAGGATTTACTGTGTTGTACTTTTTAGAGCTCACCTTCTTTATTTCTACTTTCAGTTTCTTCCTCTTTACTCGCACCTGGAAGCCGGGAAGGTGCCAGAACAGACTCCCTCCCTCCTGGGATGACCATGTGGTCATTTTCCCCAGACTCAGCACAGCCAATTTCCTTTCTAGATTCCTTGTTGCCCAGACGACCGACTTCTTTATTGCTTTTGAAGACATCCTGTATTGTCCGACCAAACAGAGTGCCTCCCCTGGGCCGATTCAGGCGGACAGGCCGCTTATCAGGAGGATGATCACCCCTTGACAGAGGGTCCAAGTCGTCCACTGCATCGTGGCCATGTCTCCTTGGGGAGCGGTCCTGATCCTCCTTCCTTTTCAGTCCTTTCATGAGGCTGGGAAGTAGCTCCACTTGGGAAACAGCTTCTTCACATCCTTGTCTGACACCTGTTTTGCTAACTGAGAAAGGTTCCCCCAAAGATCCTGAAGATGTGGGGAAGCTAGTGAAGCTACTATTCAGACTTCCAAAGAGCGACTTAGGACCTCTCTTCTCTTCCTCCACATTTTGGTTTGACAAAGCAGGGGTAAAGGGTGATGATGAATTACTACTATCAACTGGTTTCGAAAAGGTGAAATTTGATTTAGTTGCTGAACTTGTCACCTGAGTAAAAGAAAATGGAGTCAGTCCCCCAGGTCCACTACTAATTGGTTGGGAAAATGTGAAAAATCCAGAAGTAATTTGGCTTTGAGTTTTCTCTGGCTCGGATTCAGCCCCCAATATTGGTCTGAACACTGAATTTTCCAGAGGTTTAAAGCTGAATTCTGTTTTCCCAAAACCAGAGCTTGCTACTTCTCCAGTTTCTGGTCCAAAAATAGAAGTACTTGGGAAAGCCCCAAGGTTGGGTGATTTAAAATTAAATCTTGGGTTTCCAGGCACACATGAACTTGAAGGCCCAGAGGTAGCTACAAAGGCTGGAGTGTGTTCAAGTCCAGGAAAGAGTCCAGCATTCGAGGTTTGGGAGAATCCTAACGTTTGCGCTGAAGAAGAATGACCTATTCCAGAAGATGTTGGAAAGCTAGATACCTGTGAAAACATTGAGCTTTTCCCAGGTGCTGTATTGCTTTGTCCAAAAAGGGAAGGCTGACCAAATCGAAATGGTGGCTTAGCCTGAACTGTTCCTATGGAACTACTGGAAGATGTTGAAAAAGCACTAGGCTGCTGCCCACTGAAAGGGTTAGTTGGGTTCATCTTCTGATCCAGTTATTGGAAGGTAATAAATACTCCCCATACAAAGCAGTCCTCTTCCTTAGTCTGTTGAAATAGAGAGCTCTCCTTCATTTCATGTAAACTGAAAGACAAAAATTCAGATCATCAGAGCTACGTGCTGCTGGAAAACTAAGGAAAGAATTTTTAATCATGTCACACTTGAATTATTTACTAGGTGAGAAAAGCAAAGGGCTAAACATTCTTATTTCCTGGTTTGTTTTGGAGTATGAAGTGGAAGGTGATACAAATAAATTACTTTGCTAGAGGTTTAAAGCATGACTAAAAGTCAAATCATTTTACTAAACCGGTAATTCACGAAAAACCTCAACTGTTTAAAAAAATGAACGTCGTTACACTTTTTAAGTTAAAGAGAGGAGTTTCTCCTGACTTCTTCCAATCTCCATAGCCAGATGACTACACTGTAACACACTCAAAACCAGTGTTCCAGTTCCTCCCACCTAAGTTTTCTACAAGTAACCATAGCACGAAACACTCTTTGCAGACGCAGACATAAAATGTGTTTTTATACCAGGGCTATTGCCCGAACGAACCAGCTTACAGATCAAGAGTACTCACGCGGAGAGGCCGCCCTAGACAGGGAACCGGCTGGAGCGGAGCCATCACATCCCCCAACTAGCAGGCCGCGCCCTGGGCCCGACGCCCGGCCATCCAGCCCCGTTAGGGACGCGCGGCGGGGCGAGGGAGCGGCAAGGGGGAAGGGGCAGCCTCCGCCCAGCCCGGACCCCGTGCAGCGCTCACCGTCCGGCTCCAGGACGCCGCCGCTCCGGGGTACCTCGGCGCCTGGCTGGAGATGCAGACAGACCAAGACCGCTGGAGCCAGCGCTTCCTTGAGCGCCGCGGACCGAAAAAGTGGTGGACCGACTTCCGGTCCTACCAACGCGGCCCGGCCCCACCCGCGGCCCTCCGCGCTTGGGTTCCGCTCTCTGGCCAAGCGGCGGGGTTGGATCTTCCGGTGCGGTATACA